CTCTTTGGATGAATGCCATAGCCGTCCAGCGTGTTGCGCAGATTGTGAAACTGTGTCTGGGTGTAGGCTGAGCTAGGGCCCAGGATGATCTCTCTCAGTGGAGGCAGCTGATTGTTTAGATAGGTGTCAACGTCCACCCGCACCCCAATGAGACTCAGAAGGATGGTGAACTGAATCAGGCCCTCTGTGAAGTACTTTTTCAGGTAAAGCATTTCTTTACAAAGGAACAAAAACTGAAAGTAAAAAGTAAAAACAAAAACAGGGCCTACTATTTTGAATTAATACTTCTGTACTAGCACGAGAAGATGGAAACAGATACATCAACATAAAAAAGTAGTTAAAGACAGTGAGGGGAGGGTCTTCAACAGGATTCTGTACATTCAAAAGGCGTGTAAGATCCAAGATGAGGTTCCCACTTCTGACAGTCCAGTCTGTGTTCAAAGCTTTGTTCTTCATAAAGTTCTCATCTTCCCATTCCTGACAAAAGTGAGAAATGGCATTTGATTGTTCCACTGCAAAATATGGTAGTTCAACATTACAACCACTGCCTTCAGCTCTGAGACACACGTCTTACCTACCTACATTTGCACCAGACACATGCTAATGAAAAGGAAAAAAATCAGGACTTGCTGCTAGTCCACTGCAAATACTCATCCTCCCAAGAATAGAGAAATAATGTCGGCTCGTATAGCGCAATGCATTTTCATTCTTGGATATTTAGCAGACCAGATGATGAACACACAGCTTTAGTAGGCATCACCCCACCCTAGCCAGGTCAAATACTTCTTGTGGGTGCTGCTGAAGGTGAATGAGAGTCGAGAAAGCTCGCTGGGCTGGCTAACACACGCACCAACGACAACGTTAGGTAGACAGGGCCCCTCCCTCCTCTGCTCAGCTGCGTCTATCTTCGTCCTTATGAAGTTAGCTTTGAGGGTATTAGCTACCTTGTGTTGAGAGCCAGCTACAGCTATTACACATTTACGATCACCTTGTTAACGATACATATCAAAAAGTAATAATAATATGAAATGGTACTATATTATCTAGTTAACTTGCATCTCTGTTTATCCTAAAAGGTGTCAGGTACCTCTACTAAATATTTCCTCTAGTGGCATCAAACAATCTCCCTGGCAACAAGTGGTGAAAGGATGATTGATAGTTTATTCAGCCATTCACAGAGCTCAACAGCGGCGACGACACATGACTCTAGCAAATGCCAGCCAATAAAAAATGCAATGAGGGTGGGGCTTCAAGAAAAGCTACTATTGGAACTCAAGGCGTGCTACGCTGTGCTAGCCTTGTAAGCTATCTTCTGCTAACAATCGTGAGCATCCAACTACTTTGAAAAGTAAGCTAAACTATGTACACTGCAGTGTTCACGCATTCACACACAAATACTGCCTATTCATGTGTGTGTCCGCTAACGTTAGCTAATGCCGTGAGTCACTACGATCCAAGTATCGGCTTGTAACGCATTAACGTTAACTGAAAACCTTTTGATATTAATACTTACGCGTGACGACTCTGTCTTCATCCCCTAAAGTCCTCTGTCACCTATCAACTGTATTCAAACCCGGTTTTAAAAATTCCGCAGTACTGCCCGATACAGCTTTCTCCTGCCTTTCCTCATTGAATGGCCCACCATGACTTGCAGAATTGCTAGCTGGCCCAGCTAGCATAGCAGCACCGCTTGACACCAAAACACGCTTTCACACAGAGCATGCGTAGAACATTCTAGTGGCAAGCGTTCATCGCCTCACTGAAATTCCCCCACTAATTTACAAGTTTCACACAATATACAAATACGTTCCAGTTTTTAAAGGTATTCAAAGTCAAAAACGTTGCCTCTTCAATAGAACTTATTTATTCCAAACAAGTTACCAAAATCAGTGTTGGAAGTAGCACTCAAGATAGTAATGTACTAGTTATTCCTAAATTGCCTACAGATACAACAATGTAAAATACGTCATTGCAAGTTAAAAATTGTATTAAAGGTGTACTTAAGTAAAAGTACATACATATAATCTATAAACTGTGCTTAAAGTTATTTGTTTTTGTCAATAATAAATATATAATTGAATTTATACATTTTGGACAATTTCACCAAAAACTGAAACATTTTGAGCTTCATAATCACAGATGTTAAGGTGGAAGTGTTGCATTGAATTGTATACAATTGTACAGGTGTACTTAATTAAGTGGCCAGATATATAAACGATTTGTAAAATGGCAAATGTAAATGTGTTTAAATCTAAAAAATGTAAAGAACACAAAATACTTTAAATTAAATACCACTTTTATTTGTTTCTGTAGATTATGACAAAATACTGTCTGAGAAGCTCATTATATATTAACCCCCATCAGGTTGACAGGCCTGTTGTGGTAGCGCTTTGAAATGTCAGCTTCAATCTGCAAAAAATGACAGTTGACAGTCAGATAATGGCAAAAATACACATTACTGTAATGTATATTAATTATAAGCCTTATTCCTTTCAGTTAATCTACAGTATAATCTTTTAATCTGAGTAAATACTGTATTAACAGAACTAGAATTTGCTTCCTAATGATTACTGAACTCCAAAGGGTGACAAAAATGCCACACAATCTGGGCTTTCTAGTGACTTGAGAAACCGCCAACCTAGTGAACAAATGGAACAGGAGAAAATAATTTGCTACCAGTTTCTGGAGCTCCCGGGTGCATCCTGCCAGCAGGTCAACACGAGGCTCCAGTCGGGACTGCTCCTTCAGGGCTTCCTGCCTTTTCTCAGCCATCGTGGTCCCTTTCAGCACCAGAATGTCTGCCTGCTTCAGTTTCTGTCTCAGCACCTCTGACACACGTTCAACATACCTAAACACACGCATTTCAGATAAAGAATTATGATAAAAGGTGCATGTGTTACATTTCAGAAGTAAAAGACTGTCATGCTGGATTTATGGACTGTTGCTCCAGTTACATCAGATCCTGTGTAAATTAAGCAGGTAAAAATAATTTATGCAACTGAGATCCATCAGTTATGGCAGCATACCGTGGTGAGGCTTGGATCATAAACAGATGCTGCATCCGGACAGAGGTGAGTCGGCCCAGAAGGTCCTGCACCTCAGATAACATCTCGCGGATATGCTCACAGGTCTGGCCTTGTATGATAGAGGGGGCCAGCTGGAACTGGCTCATAGCTACCACATCTCCCTCTTCTCCCATCTCACTCAAGCGCTGGGTCAGAAATACTTCAAGCTGCACAAACACAACAAACCAGCATCGCTTCTCTGTGTCAGATGCACCAATCTGTCATTCAAATACTCATTCCACACCCATAGCCCTTGCGGTTTGTAATAACTGTTTCTGAACTTGCACCCAAAATATGTGAGTGAAGCCTAAATTAACAGATTTTGACCATGTGGGGGCAGTGGAAACAAGCTGCAAACCCAAAACCTGACATAAAAACCCTGTAATGTTGATATGACAAACTTAACAGCAGTTTCTTATTTAGACATCCAACAGATACACAGGAACATCATATATTCAGAGCTGTATTTGATTCTGCCTGATGAATGGAAATCCAACATTTTGTCTCCTTTCTAGCACTATCTGGTCAACTACAACATTAAGTAGCTTTGTCAATAATAAATTATTATTAGTTGCAGCTCTAACGTGTATGCTGTGATCACAGTTCTGATGACATTATCTTATACACAAAGATCACATGGAAGCACAGTCTTCCAAAGGTAATCTTACACTACATGGTTGTATTCTTTACCTCCATTAGCTCATCGATAAACTGGCTGCGTGACTGAGAGTTTTCCAGTATAGTCAAAGCATCCTCACCCCTTGCCACACCCTCAGGACCTACAAGGTCATACACTCATCTTTAGCAAACTGATTTCAACAGATGAGCATGTGGTAACGATTATAAAACAGTACATACAGTCTGTGCCTGCATCTACAATTTCAAATTCAGCGGGAGCTGCTTCACTGTCACCCCAGTCGATACCGCCTGCACCAGAGTCCTGTGGAGGGAGACAAATACTGTAAGTTAGTGCAGTGGTTCCCAAACCTTTTCTGGCAGACAACTGAACTGTCAATGTTTAAGTCAATTTTGTAAAGTCTGCATATACCTTCAACCATTCATCCACTACTTTCATTCATACACTAACTATCTCTTACTAATATTATGTATGTATACTAGGTGTTAATATAACCCTTTTGTAGAGACTGTTCTTTATTTATTGGGATATATAGACATTAACTGTGATGAACACAAAGTAAAGCACAGATATGTTCCGGTGTCATACCTCAGAGTTTGGCTCCAGACTGATCCCCCAGTCTATACCATCCTCAACTGTGATGCCAGAATTAAAACCCTGTGTATCTGTTGCTTTGCCAAAGTCGCCCCAGTCAATCTGAAGGAAGTTTTACCAAAGATTTTTATTAGAGGTTTTATCAAAGAAATGACAGTGGTGAGGAAAATCAGTTTGAACTGTGTATTGCAGAAAAATCCTGACAGTGAAATCTGATTAGTAACCATGTTCATTTGAATTAGGCCTCAGTTTAGAAAATGAAACTACATAACAAAAGAAGAGATGAATAAAAAAAAAAAAAAAAAAAAAAGAGTTTGGCTTAAGACATTTTTACTTTGGATGTATTCATGTGTAATATGACCCTGTTGAATGCTTTCTATGGAGACAGTAACACTGACCGTGTCCTCTGTGGCTGTGGCAGGAGGTGCGTCCTCCACAACTGGCCTCTCAACAACTGTGGGGACTTTCCCTGTTCTCCACTCATAAAACGTTGTGTTTCCTCTCTTCTGGGCAAACGTCAGCATGGGCAGGACCGGCTCAGACCTACAAATAATGACAGTGAAATAAAACACTTTGGTTTATTTTACTGTATTTTGTTCTTTGGTTCTAGAAGCTTCACATAGTATTTACACTTCTGTTAGAATTGTGTGTATATATACTAAGAAATGTATTTATATCAATCTAGTAAATAATACAATAGGAAACCTGTTTGGGCCTTCCAAATTAATGGTAGTCCATGAAGTACAAACCTTTATTTCTTATAGGGCTGAGCTGCACAGTGCAAGCCAGTAAAATAAAGCTGTTAGAAATGCAGAGCAAAAGACAGTGTGAATAAATGTGGACTGTTTTGATTATGTGCTCACCATTCACATACAAAGTTTGTGAAAGCGGTGTAAAGTTGGATGTGTTTCTCTAACTTTGCTGCATCCTTCCCGACTTCGTCAAGAACTGCTGGTAAGTCTTTCACCAGAGCCTGAAGCTCACGGGCCACATTTTCTCCCTGGAAGATGACGACAGTCGAGCAACAGGAGGGTGAATAGCTTCAAGAGTCTGGACATGCATCATGCCAGTTCATCTGTTTAATATTACACATTTTGAACACTGCACAATATCAGTGTAAGGTTTAATGTTGTGGTGGCTGTGACCGTACACTTACTGTGATGCCATACTGTTTACAGGCAGCATAGTAGCGTTGCCTCAGGTCTGCGGCTGAGCTCTGGCACTCCACTTCTCGCCTGCTCAGCTCCTGCTGCAGCTGCTGGGCTTTGGCCAGCTGCCTCCTCAGAGCCGGGCCTTCATAGCTTATGTTGCGACTCAGCAAGCTGGCCACCTCCACTGGGACACACAAACACATTTTCATTATTCAAGAATTCTGAACCCGCAATTATTCAGTTTCTATGCTAATGATGCAGAAATAACTTGAACAGCAGCTACAAAAAATATGCCTTCTTCAGTTTAGGAGATAAATGGCTTTAGATTTTCTGGATTCCAAGAGAATGACAACACGCTCTGCAAACAGTAATATAGCAACATGATTAATAATGCCTTCCTACCCTGTAAAAGACAGGACACAGATTAACAGAGAATGCAAATGTTGCCATACTATGAAAAATTCAGAGATATGGGGGTTTCCCTTGTTTCTATATCACACTTACCCAGATAGACATTATCTGCCTCATAAAGGGCCACAATCTCCTGCCAGTCCTGTAAGAGAAACAAACCACTGTTCAAGTAGTAGCTAGCAGTTTTAGAGGTTTAGGAGCAGAGGAACATGGCACATGGTTTGAAACACTAACTGTAAACTGTGACTGACAGACCTGTTATCAGTGACGACAGCAACTTGTTTGATTCCTCTCACCTTCATCCTCTGAGATGAATATCTGCCAAAGATGTTCTTGGAGGAAGCCTCTGTTCTCTTCAGTATCTCCACGATCCTCAAGCAGTGAAAGTAGTGAATGTCTACCAGTCAAACAAAATAAGTTGTTTAAAAATAGTCTTTTAGCTATTTTGTTGAAAGCTAATAATTTCAATCCATATCCAAACAATCCACATACTGATACAGCTGAAGAATAAAACTGCAATGTATGATACATAGTTTTCAAATAAGGACTTTTCTTATAACTCAAGAGCAAAAAAGAGAGATTTTGTTGTTGGACAAAGTATGTGGGAAATATAGTAGTGGAAAGTAACATTAATATAAACAAAAACAAATAACATATTTGCTTTGTATGATAAAAATATAAAGGTTTTATTGTCAATTAAAACTAAATAGTGAAAAGCAGCAGAGAGCTGATATAACTGAGGCTTTGAAGATTCTGGAAATACAGTACCTTCAAAATGAAGCGTTAATAAACAACTTCCTAGCTTCATCGAGGTTTTGTGTTTCAGAAAAATGCATCCTTAGATCTGTGACTTAAATGTTGTAAAAGCACATTAGAGGCACCTACAGGATCCTGAGAGGAGCTGCTTGATTTCCTCGTTCTCTGGCATGTCCTGAATGGCAGCATTGATCTTCTCTCTGATTACTTTCACTGCGCTCTGCCATTTCAGATTACAATGCCGTCGATCCAGCAGCCAGTCTGTGGACATACAAATGATTACAATTCATATCTGCACTCACTAACCCACGATCACAAAGTGAACACATGCTTTTAGACATTTCTGCAAATGCATGAAAAATTAAAGACTCCAATCTCTTTTACAGAAGTATTCAGCCCCTTCATTTTATTTTTTTTAAATATATATATAAATACAATGTGTTTTTTTTCTCACCCAAAAGCTTGCTGGTTTGTATGTCGATGGGAACGTCTTGAATATTCTGTTCAAGCGAGAAAACAGTCAAAACATTAGTTATGTACACTTTCCTGTCTAGCAGCAGTAACGCTGACGTTACCAAACACAGGGTGAGCGTGTTACATTCTTGTGCGACTTGTATCTTTACTAGATTTACACTGGAACACTGCACAATAAAGATGACAAACTGTTTTCTGTAACGTTGCTGCTGTGAGACTGTGTATTTTGGACAGCTAGCCACCGTTAGCTAGCAGGCGTATTGATACGGAGTCAGAGAGACTTTATTTCATCTTACCTCCATTGTCTTTTAACCTTTTAACAAAAACAAAGGCGAGTCAAAAATTTTTATGACTTCATTGTAGATTTGATTAAAACGTTTAACCTATATCCAAGAATATTCTTTACCATCCAGAGATCACTGTTTATGACACGTTACTAGAAGAAGAGCCAATAGAAAGCAGTGATGTTACGTTGGTAAAAGAACTAACCAATCATGTTTTACTATGTTGATACCTAGTGCTGATTGGGGCTCTGATGTGGTGCAGTGACAAAGTCTGCCGGTAGGAGGCGATGCGGTCCTTTAACTATCTACATCTCTGCGATAATAATTTGTAGTAACACAAACTTCAGTCTAAAATGTAGTATCAATGTTATTAATGTGTAAGTGGTATTTTACTGTTGTATCTGCTCAAGGTGGAGCTAGTTTTAACAAATTCACATAAAGTTAGTTAGGTTGGTCCAGTGGTGTCCAAGCTAGTGGTCAGGAACCTCTAAAGGTTCACAACATAAATCTGAGGGGTCATGAGATGTTTAATGGGAGAGAAAATAGCAGTTCTGATATGGAAATCTGTATGCTCTTTTTATACCTTAGCACCAGTTTAATCTTTAAAAACGTTATTTTATAATCTTATCTTTCTAAGTAAACACTTACTCTGGAAAGTATTGTATGAGTAAAAAGTACAATATTTTACTCTAAGATGTAGTGGAGTAAAAATCCTAAGGTACTTTACATCATTCAATCAAATCAGGATATCTTGTGTATCATTTTTAAAACTAATTTTCTCAACCTTCTAATCCACTATATTTCAGAGGGACATTTATACTTTTTTTCTTTCATTGACAGCTACATTTACTTCTCAGATTGAGGTCATATAAAATATGATGCAGTGCTTCACTTTTAATTAAACTTACCAACTGTGTTTTATGTAGCAAACATTGGCTAAACAATGACAAATTACAACATAATATTCAAAAATGTGTTAATAATTGCATAACACTCAAGGAATGGGGTATTTCTGCATAAGGAATACTTTTACTTTTGTTACTTTATGCATTTAGCAGAAAATCCTGTTCTACCTTACATACTGAATGCAGGACACCTTTTGTAATGGGGTGTTTCACAATAAGGTATTTACTTTTACTTTAGTAATGGATTTGAGTACTTCTTCCACAACTGGTATTAATACAACACTATATTGTTTTATGAACTCCAAGCTGGACAGAAGTGAAAATGGATCGGTGCAGCCTTTTCTCTGACCTAGTATCAGGTCATTTGAATGGCAATAAAACTTGCAAAGTAAGCAGTCAGTCAGTTTCTGGGATTTTGCACAGCTCATGCAAAACATCAGAGGACCTCACCTCATTCAGATGATCTTTCAAATATTTCTCTCCAGCTTAAATTAATGACTAAGAGCTGTATAGGAGAACACAGATGACTTTATTCTGTGTCCAAGTTCCACATTAAAACAGACTTGGTTTTAATGGGAGAGTGATAAAGGGGTTTTCTTTGCAGCTCACATTAACCCTGTTGTGACTGATTTTGCTGTGCACTCGTCCAGCCGGAAGAAAGGTCTCACATGGTTGTAACATTTGCTCACTTGTGCACTTAGCTGGGCGGGCTTTGTGTGTGTGTGTTTGTGTTTCAGGAGGGTGTGTGCTAGCCTGGAGCGTACAGAGAGAGGTAGAGATGCTGCACCTGTGCATGCTCACCTGAGGAGAAGAAGAATAAAAACCACAGAGAGAGGAGTCAGAGAATCTGAAGGCATGATGGGGCAGTTTCACATCTGAGCAAATCTCCCTGAACCAACTCGCCATCCACAAGGTAAGAAAACACATTTGGGCACCTGAAAGTTATAAACTGTTGCAGAAACAGTTCTTGTTGCTTGGCAACAGATTGCCTAAAATAGCTCAATTAAAAGTGTAGGTTTGGTTTGTTATTGGTCTATTTGTAAAATATATCAAATTTTAAACAATACAATCAAAGAATAATTTCTGTTGTTCTCAGGATGTACTGCTGCTTCTCGAATATGAGGTTTTCATACTTTTTTGTCTTACCTGATAGTAAACTGTGTTTTTGATGGTTGCTTTATTGTGATGGGTCCTTTATCTTATGTTTCATAGAATATATTATTAATCATATAACCACATAAATAAATAAATAAAATAATAAGAGATCAAGAGTTGGAATCAATATCTGGTATTAAGCTAAGCTAAACAAGAACTAAAAAGCATTTAAAGATGTAAACAATCAAGTCATTGCAGCTTTACAAGACTTGTTGACATAATGCCCCATTAAAAGTACACCTGACATTTCAAAGAAATGTCAGCCTTCAGCTTTCTGTGACTTGCTACATAATCTCGAAGCCCAGACAAAACAAACAAAAGCATTACAGACACTTCAGCTAATGCAATTGATCATTATTATAAACATCAGGAAAAGAACACCTAAGGGCTCTACATCAGCTCATTCAACTTTGCTGTTATGGGTGAACAGTGAAGCTGGAACAAAGGATGAAACCTGAGAATCTAATGAGCCTTCAGCTCAGTCGTGAGGGCTGCACAGTCTCTGGCTAGTGGGCAAACTTTGCAGCTGGTTAGTCATTTCCGAATGCGGCCACGGTACTCCCTTCCTGCTGTGATCTCTGAGGCTTTGAGGCTCACTCCCATATAACAGAACACATGGTAACTTATTAAAGAAAACCATGGAGGGCCTCATATGTGTCAACAGGGCTTTTTGTCTCAAGGGTCACATCTAAGGTAAACATGGCATACTAGAAGAAATATGTGGGCATGTTGTACTGCTCGGTTCTCTTAGTTAACACAGTGTGAAAGTGACGCATTATAGAGCAACCTGTTGTTTGTGTAGACCAAACACATCCATGTCGCAGAATTCAGCTAAAAAAAAAAGTTATGTACTTCAGTTAAAAAGCTGTCTCAAGTCAGCACCAGGGAACTCATAAAAGCTCTGTGTTACATGTGTCTGTACACAGCCAGATGAAAAATAAGTTTAATTACTGGACTAAGAAGCAACATTAAATCCAGAAAGATAAAGTACAATTTAAATATTCAAGCCTTATCACATCATTAAATCAAAAATCTGGTCAGGTGTGTCCAACACTGTCTTTCTTGAACCTTTGCACTGTGTGTTCGTGCCAGGTGCCAAACATCGCCTGGTCCAGATAAGAGTAATATGAGTGTTTCTGCAAAGGGTACAGACTCTTTATTTGCATAGGTGCTTTGTGATAAAATGACCACAGAAGGGAGGATTTTTGTGTGCGTGTGTTTTTTTGCTTCCTGCCATAAAATAGAAGCCAGCATTTGTAAGACAATAAATCTGATTTATTAGCTACATTTATTTCCAAACACTATTTATATCTCATTTACAGTTTTGACATTTATTTTAGACTTAAATGCATTTACAATGATCTTTTAATGCAATAAGAAAAGATAAACTGTGCAAAAATCTAAGAAAACCATTTAAAAGTAGTATTAGATCTGATGTGTTGAAAGAATTCTTGAGATTTTTTACTTGAGTAAAAGAAGCAAAACCACAGTGGCAAAGTATATGAAGTAGAATTAGAAATTATAGAAGAAGAAAATCTCCAGGTCCTTATTTAGTGATTCTGACAGTAGAGTCTAACTTTCCTTATTATACGTAACAAGTGTCTGAGCTTGCTGAGCAGCTGCTTCCTCTGTGTTTGGCCTTTATATCCAATCACATGGGAGGGACAGAGGATACTGTTCAGATGCTCATTAATTTATCAGCTGAGGGTCAGGTGTCCTCCCCTGTCAGGTTACACCATGGAGCTGTGCCACGAATAAAAGCTAATCATCTCTAGTAACTGTGTGCTTTTCTGAGAATGGGTGTGCACAGTACAGGAGAGAGTGTCCTTTGTAATTTTGAATGAGGGCAACCTGCTGATCAACAATGAGAAAATGGCATTGCATTAAAAACACAATGTTCAGAATGGGTTGTTCTTCAGGCTCCCTGCTTCAGCACATTCAGTTTGAAATAAAATAATGGATACTACATTAAACCGAGCAGGTTTCGATCCATATTCTGTCGCTTTTCTGGGGTCAGGTGGATTCCAGGATCAGTGAAGTAATCCAGACATCCCTCTTTGCAGCAACATTTCCCAGCTCCTCCTGGGGGACCCCAAGGCATCCCCAGGCTAGAGGAGACACATATTGTTCAAACTGTGCTCTAGGCAATAGTCAGGTGGGCTCAGCAAGGTGTTTGCAGGTCAGATGGTGAGAATTTATTTACTTATATTAAGTGTATAAATGTAATCTGTGGGTTAATGTGCTATGTCAGTTAATTATTTAGTCACTTATGTATGTTATTCACTGTTCTCAGCGCAGGGCAGATGACTGGGCTTGGCCCCTGTTTAGATTAACTAGTGTTATCACCTGTACTGATAGAAACAGTATTAGTTGATCACACTGAAGAGGTAGTCAAGTCAAAATGTTTAAATGTGATCAGCCATGTGGCTTTCATACTAAAAATAAACATTTTGCTGCATTTTTCAGAGTGTAGAAGTCCCTATATTTGATTTTGATGAGATATACAATCTCATTATTTTTTCTACCGTGCTGAACAGTTTTGTAAATTGTGCCACGTTTTATAAAGTTTAGCATTTGTCAATTGGAAATGGGCTCTTTGGATTATCTGTCCATTTACAGAATATTTTCATGCATTTTATCTCCCTCCCTTCTGTTTCAAAAACCTCCAAAATATTTACTCTAACATATTTCAATTTAAAAATATCAAAATCACTCTTTGAAACCCATCATGTGTAATTTGTGTATAATAAAAATTCATGTTTAAATTATACAGAGGACGTGACTTGTTGTCTTCAGATGTGGCTACAGTCCAGGGTGGCAACGTGGCCTCTGTTATAAATTTTGTACCAACAGGTAATAAGGAAGCAGCCAAGGAAGAACCTGCTCAAACTACTGCCGTTTAATTGTAAATGTTTAATGTGCACTAAACTGATAACACCAAGTGTAGAGGTTACTCTTGTTAGTAACAGTGTGTCTGTGCGCTCGGCCTCTTCAGGTCAGTCCTGCAGTCTCTGTTGGTGCCATGGCTGAGCAAAGCTGGTGGAAGCTGACCTTCTCACGCAAGAAGAAATCTGAATCTAAGGTCCTTTATGAGATCCCAGCTGAGCATAGCAGTAACACCGGCAACAAAGCACACTCGAGCAACAATCCTCCTCCAGACCATATGGACAGCCAGTTCAATGCCAGACTGGAGAAGATAGTAGATAAATCTGCCACAAAGGGCCGCCACGTCAAGGTCTCCCACTCTGGTCGCTTCAAGGAGAAGAAGAAGGTCCGTGCTACGCTGGCTGAGAACCCCAATCTGTTTCCAGACAACCTCAGTGATGAGAACAATAAAAAAAAGACAGAAAAATAGCACACATGCTCCCACAAACACATCAGAATGCACATACTTGATCACAAATGTGTCATATATCAGTGTCACACTAATTGAGGCTTTGGCAAAGGCTAAAACTGAGCACGTTGCAGTACATGTGCAAAGTGGATAAACTGCCGTCACCACGCGCCACACCCAGGTAGATACTGTAACCAGTGGACACCAGCGCAAACACCTGGTGACAGCAGACAACCGCTAGGTATTCACAGAGTCTAAAGTACTGGAGAAACATTTCTTTGGCTTTACGCTTTTGTGCTCACACTGGTATATACTGTACACCGAGGAGGCAGTTTATTAGGTACACCTAGGTGAAACAAAATGAGTTTGTTCAAACTGTTTCAGAGACTGAACTGTGTGATCATTTCAGAGGCTTGTTCTGCTTTTGAAATGTACTGCATTAACCAGAGAGCTGTTTCTACTTAGAATAATAGTTTTAGCAAGGTGTACCTAACAAACTGACAAGACTATATTCAAAAATGATCACTGACATGAAGGAAAAGTCAAGAAACTAGCCTCATGCATCTTCATCCTCATGACAGAAAAGTAACACTGCTGTAATTTAAGTTTTTATTTGTATTGCTATGGCTGCAGAGTTTAGAACTAGAGTTTTTACGTGGTACACAATCAGTACAGTACAAGTCAAGAGGTACCTGTGCAGAGTGAAACCAAAGTACGTAATGTTTTTATGCCCAAAGCAAATGAAGACTTGATTTTGATGACTGTGTCTGAAACACTGTGGACACTCCACAATGTTTTCTAGAATCTAAAAGAAGAAAACGTTTTTAATAAATGCAACATGTGTTAATATAAAGGAGTGCTTTGTGTTTGTGCGGGATTCTGCAGACCTGGGTAATCTCACAATTAACTGAACATGTAGATTGATGATTAGAGTGACTCAGTGCGCTACACTAATTCATCCTTCTTTTGCGTTACTGAGCCAGGTTTGTCATTTCACCTGAGCCTACACTGTCAGGGTTTGCCGACATGGGGATAGTAAGCAGACCCTGACATCTGACGCTGTGTGGCTTGCTTGCACATGCTGTGGTGCAGCGTTTCTCATGTCAGTTCACAGACAGAGCACAGGTGTTGTACTCCTGACATCTGCTGGCCAAACACACTTGGTTCTCACAAGATAAACTTTGTTACTGGATCTATTCCATATTTAATTCAAGTTAAAAATTTTCTTTCACCAGTAAACAATGAACAATCTCATTCTCAGGTAGGACAAGACAGAAAGAACACACACAACTGGCACAAATCACTTTATCTCCAGTGCCACTACATACACATAGTGTTTATCCATTTCCTTATACCAGGAGAGATTTGTAGTTGTATATTTAGTTATCCATGGTTACTGCTGACAAATGTGTAAAACTGCTGACATCAGGAACTTTTTCGTGGTTAGGTTCAAAGTGAACACAGTGATCCTACACACAGCTGCACCTACACATCACATGGTTTCCATTTTATAGATGAGGTGTTATTTCAAAATGGTGGATTTTTATCAAAGCTAAGTTCATATTCTAGATGAATTTTCTCATGGAGCCAGGCGCTGGTACACCCAGCCCCCCTCTGCAGCGTGCTGAAACTTTCCCAGCTCAGACTCCCCGTCCTTTGGCTTGGTGAAGACGATGCGGTCGTGAAGCCTGTTAGTCTGACCCTGCCAGAACTCGATCAGGCAAGGCTTGATGATATAGCCGCCCCTGTTAGCAAAGCACAACACAGAACAGTTAGAACCGGTCCAACTTACTTGTTCAATAAAGCTTTAGGGGAGTGTGGAAACACTGCACAGACAAAGGGAAGAATGGATTCAACTAAATATCAGCAAATCCACAAAGGTCCTACAGTCAGTCAGGAAAGGGAACATAAAAAGAGGCAGGCTTCTGCAACAGAACCAGGATCCAAAGTGGACCTCCAAATCCACCACCAACCACACAGAAAACAGATCTTAAACACACTTTGTGTAAGACAGCCTAAAATATCTTGAAGGGATTTGCAGGAAGAGTGGCTAAAATTCATCAATCAATAATAGACACATTCTCATCTGACTATGAAAGACTTTGTAGGGTGTGAGCTCTGCCAAAAGGAGGGAAATTACATGATTTGCATGTCTGTAAAGGAAATGTGTAGCTGGAGCCAGAAGCTAGGTAGCTTAGCTTAGCATAAAAAATAAAACCACAGGGAAACAATACAAAAATAAATGCTTACCAGTAGTCAGGCATAGGCACCTCTGTGTCCTTGTACTTCTCCTCCAGTTCTTCATATTTCTGCCTTAGATACTAAAAGTAAGGACACTGTGACAATTGAGCCTTCAACTTTTATGCTTTACTTGCACAGCACCATATGGTTTTGGTTCTTACGTCTCTGTTAGGAACAGGAGTGCTCTGTCGGCTCACGACAGCACCAATCTGGCTGCTCCTTGGTCGGGAGTGGAAGTATTCACAGGAGCTCTGACGGGAGATCCGCTCCACAGTGCCCTCAATGCGAATCTGCATGTCAGGATGAAAATATATGCTCTTTGTGGATAAATTGACTCACGCCACATTATTACTGTTAGAACATGAAACTTGCTGTACCTGTCTGTTAAGGGGATCCCAGTAGAAGAGGAGGCTTGCATAGGGATTGCTCTCCTGCAGACAGAAGACGGACATCAATACGTAACATTACCAAATCCTACAAAAGAAGTTAGTCAGCATCCTCACATTGATAGCACTGTGTGTACTAAAATAGGCAATGTTTCATATAGTTCAAACAGGGCATGAGACAACAACCAGTCCCATAAAACTATCCAATCTACCAGTTATGTTCACTATCAGTATTAGCTCTACCTGTGTTTGGATTATCATCATCATAGACAGAACAGGTACAAAGCTATTCAGGAATATAGGGGATGTGGGAATGTGAATGAACAGTTTTACTCTTTGACAGCCATCACTCTGTAAGTTTGAAGGTCACTGTGAGTGGAACAAACTCTCTAGATGTTGCTGTAAAACAGCCAGAGAGAGAAGGCGCGACCAGTTCCTTACCAGTTCAGAACCCTTTCGGCTCTCATAGTTTGTAAAGAAACGAAAACCTTCGTTGCTGTAACCTTTCAGCAGAACCATCCGAGCAGATGGACGTCCATCTCTGTACAGACACAGGTAAGACTGACATGAGATGGTGAAAAACTGAAAACCAATCAGCAGCTTTCAGCTCAAGTGGCAGTGTTACCCACGTGGTGGCAGTGGCGATGCACATAGCATTGGGCTCTCCGATGTCAGGGCACTTCGTGGCCTCATCAAACCAGTTTCCAAATTGCTTAATGGGGTCCATAGATGCGAGATGACTTTCCTCAAAGCACTGTGGACAAAGTTACCAAGTATTTTGTAATGTACCAGGAAACAGACACTATTACTCATTCATAAGCTTCATGTAGGTCTGGAATAAATTGCTGCCAAAGATGGATTACAAACTGGTCAAACTGAGTGAACTACCAGGGGATCCCAAGTGTAGCCCGCATAACTTGGGTTTATATAATCTGATTAATCACAGGTTAGAATGTTGTAGCACCTCTGATGGATCATATGTTGGTCAACTTGTAGCACTGGTTTTGTAGTGAGACTCTGGGTGAAAATCTAGTTGTAAGACCTTCATTGGTTTGGTTTTATTGAGGTCATTTGATTTCAAGTTTTTTTTAAGTAATGAACATAAAAAATCCCAAGTAAGGTTGTATTGCTGCATCACAGAAGAACTGTAGAGCTGCAATCAGCAATTGTTTTCATTGCCAATAGGTCTGACAGTTGTTTTTTAATAATGAACTGGTTGCTTAGAGAATATGCTGTCAGAAGAGGCTGACAGCTGTATATTTTGATTAATTTTCTGTCAATAGATAAATCAATTAATCAACTTTCAGGTCTAGAGTTCTGGTTAGTCACAGTATTTCTGAGGATGTTGTGAATCTGTCATGTGTATGGGTGCAGAAGGTGACCAACAGGTCTTTGCCCCAGGGCCCCTTAGAAGATTAACCTGATCGTGCTCGCTGCCTCTTTGGAGTTACAGTGAGTGAGAGAGTACTTTTAGTGCCTTTGAATCTGCCTGTAGTGTCTGCTTTACTTGTTTTGTAAAAGCGAGTACAAGTCAAAATCAAGTTCTGGAACATCTGGCGAGCAGGGTAACACAGACACCTGCTTTCTGCAGCTGTGTCAATGACTATATTTGAGACAAATATTTCTATTTGACTGGACTTATATAACCACAACCTTTAAGTTACTGTAGTGGATAAAACAAACACTTAGCACTGCAGCAATTCTCTCTGTGCATTGATTTGCCACATTACACAGACTGGATTTAGCATTAAGTCTCAGTATATTCGCCCACGATACAAGTCTTGACTGACACTCACGTCCTCATCTCCTTTGTATTTCTTCCTCATGTCACTCAGGTCCATGCTTCTACTGTGACTCGTTGATTTCCTGCAGAGATTCAATGCAAAAACGCTTTGTTGACCCACTGCCACAGACGCATAAGTCTGAGGATTTCTATGCAATAAACTGACACATCCTAGCAAATATGCAGGTAGCGTGCATCTCATGCTGGTCAAAGTGACACTAACGTAGCAGCGCAACCGTCTTTACGTAACTATATGCAAACATGCGAAGAGTTCTGTAAAGGGAGCAAATATTAAAGCATAAAGTGGTTTACACCATGGGGATTATAATATTTTCACAGTTACGCTTCGGCTAAAAAATACATATAGATTCGTACGTTCAACAGACACGATTCTATTATGAAACAAGAATAGCGACCATGCGTTATGCTGCGTTCAAGTATATCTGTTTTTACGATAATTCAGGTGGAAAAACTGTTAGCGTCAGTGGCCTAGCCGTGTCTTATGATTTAAAATGAAATAACAGAAACAATAATTGAAGATGGTGGGAAATTATAAAGCTATGCATTTCCGCCAAATGCAGTAACTACATACCATTTAACACATTTTATGAGAATTCCTCATTTTCCCAGCGAATGCTAAAATACTTGATTATCTTTCTGTCGATGTGTCAGCAAAAGCAGCATAAGTGCATCGTCACTTCCTTAATAGCGTTACAGTTTCCTGTCTAAAATGGCCACGAATTTCAGTGTGAAGTTGCTGCCGAATCTAGGTAATTTAGAGTCAGTACTGTGTTTCTGACATTAGCTTGTTTGTATTTTAGTACCCGTTTTCCTAGCTAAAGTTGGGTAAACCTAATTTAAACGGCTGTTCAAAGCGTTGTTCAGTTAGCCGATTAGCCAATGTTAGCTTAGCAGCCTGCTTTTGCAGTCCTGTACAGCTAATCAGATGAGTAGTGTTAGGTATTTTTAGTCAGATAGAAATTGGATAGATACTTTATGTATTAGAAAAGTTTAGTGGAGATAGGATGTCTAGTTAGACTGTTAAATGCTTAGTCATGCTTATGAGTTTCTACAGGGTACATCTGGTCAAGGATAACTAGAGAGAAGAGTTGATGACTGTCAGCAGACAGGGTGTTTAATATTATTATTATGACGTGTATAACTGTAGCCTTAGCCATAATATGTTCTTATGTTTAAGTCACGACATGTTCTAGAAGTCTGTGAGAATGTTTTTAGCTACACACCACTTAATCAACAGACACACACACATCTGTGTACTATGGGGCTAGCCCAACCGAGGGGATATAATGTACAGGCCTGGTGGGCTCAGGGTCTTTCATCTTACATCTGCCTGCGAGCAGTATGGAGGTGCAAGATACCTGAGCGTGTAATGTTAATTTTACCTGTGATCCTTTGAATAAATCAGCACTGTTTTGAAGTTACTTGGACTGCCTCGTCTCTCAGAGTTTGCAATGGTAACAAGAACCAGTCCTTCAGTAGTTAACGGACGTTTTGCATTTCAGGATGGCTTCCCCTGATACAGAGTGTTCGGCATGGCTCCAAGGCTGTGACTCGCCACAGGAGACCGATGCACTTCACCAAACAGAAGCTAATGGCTGTTACAGAGTACATTCCTCCTGCTAGGGTCGTTCCTCCTGGTGCTTATCCATCCCAAACCAAACAACTCCAGGAGGTAACATTCATCCCCGTTCTCGAGCCAAAATGTGTATGGACACCAAATATGTTCCTTGTATATGATTGTTGAATACGTCATTCTAAAACTCTGAGCATAAACCTACTGCTATAACAGTCTCTAGTCTTCCCACAAAGTTTGGTACCTGTCTGGATTTCCTCTCTTTCAACAACAACATTGTTAGAGATGTCCAGTACTGTTGTTTGGTGATAATGTCTGACAGACAGCGTTTAGGTTCATGCCAAAGGTGTTGAATTGAGTTGCAGGTGTAGGCCATTCAAGTTCTGTCACACCAGACTGGGGAAACCACTCTTTATGGGCCTGTTTTTTGTATGGGATAGACACACTATTGTCAGAAATATTGTGAATGCTGCACCATTACCATTTATCTTCAGCAGAACTAAGTCCAAACCATTCCAAAGGGCCCTAGGACTAAAAGTGCACAAAAGTATGTGGGCTCTTCTGAGCGCTACTGAAATCCACTGCTGTTCCACTTCACTGTGAGACAACCTCTTGTTTGATTCCAGCAGGATAATGGTTTGACACTGCTCCTGAAGAGGGATTTGAAGAACCTGTTCCAGAATTATAAGATGCTTGCTGTGGTCCAGAGGAACTCCAGCACTGCTGAAGACATGCTGATTCTCAGGCATAGACTTTTTAAACATGGCATCACTGTTAAGCTTTTTCCCAACCAGGTAATTTTAAAATGGTTTTAATTTTTAATTCTGAGGCTTCCTCCCCACTTTAAACCAGTAAGAGTGAGTTCACCATGCAGGCTGCCCTTCTGCCTTCCCCTTTATAGTTTCCTCACATTCTTAGAAAGTAATGTTATGTTTTAATTAGATACCACACAGTTGTTGTGCTGCTTCTTCTTTCAGTTCCTCCCCATTGTTCAGCAGTCACCACAGCAGATTACTGCAGTCCACACACTGTATGTGATTTGGCACAGATTTTACACCGGATGCCCTTCCTGATGCAATCCTCCCATTTTATCTGGGCTTGGGACGAGCACACCAGTATGTGTAACCCCAGTGACTGGGTGTAGCCTCTGCACCTGGTATTCCCAGGTGGTCCCCGATCCAATTACTAACCAGGCCCAACTAGTGATGTGCAAATGAAGCAAATAGCCAGTAATAAACCACTTCATCAATTGTATTGAACATGGGTTCATTCATTCAAAGCTTGGTTTCAGTGACATCTAGTGGCGTAATAGGAGACAGCAAAACAATGTCTTAGTTATGTGATGAGTGTAAATAAGGTTTATGTGAATACATTTTTGTAAAGATTGATTGGTCAGTTGATTCTATAAACGTATGTAGTGTAGTAGTCGGGAGAAGGCGTGCTTGGGGAAACGGAGGATATGCTAGGATGGTAGAGTATGTTTGTGTAACTAGGGCAGGGTGTGATTATGTAAGCGGAATGGAGAATAAAAGATTTTTATTGAGAAACAATTTTTTTCGCATTACGAAGCAGTATCGACTGGTTTGAACCAGTCGATGTCATCGCTCGTGTGTCTTTTTCTGCACCAAAGCAAGCTTTGAAGCAGCAATTCAAGGAAAATGTGGCTTTGAGTTTGACGCGTGTATTGGAACATTGGTGTCAGACGGTGATCACTAGGTCCAACCCTGCTTAGCTTCCAAGATCAGACAAGATCGGGCACAGCCAGGGCTGCATGGCTGCATTTAGAAAGCAGAGTGATGATGGGAAATTAGTAAAAACGTATATTAAAGATTCCACAGTGGGATTGTGCCAGGGTACCCCAATCTTTACTTTTTAATTGCCATTTTCTAACAACAACATATAACCTTTTCCCAACAAATGGACTGAAACCACATGATTATTTATACTTACAAAAGATGACGCAGTTTCCAGTTTCTGCTGCCAGAAAGGATGGTGACGTTTAGTTTGTTGCTGGTTACCAGATTTTGAGATTGATGTTACACATTTTAATTTTTTAAGGTTAATCCTGTAAGCAAACTCCCACCTTGGAGTCACTAATTCACAAATAAATTCTAGGCTGTGAAGCAATCCGCCATCTCTGCAGCTGCTGCATATTAGTAAAATAACTACAACGAGAACCAGACTGAGAACAACAAGCTACAAAACTTGAACTCCTGTAGTTACATTATTTCTTTGCCTTTTAGGGTCATTGACGGTTGTTCTTATCTGTAATTACGCTCTGTGTCAGGTGATGCGGTCCTTCCTGAGTGACAGTGTTTACTGCAACATGGCTCCTCTGTTCATCGGCCCAACAGTTCTGTTTGTTAGCAAAGAGCCAAAGGTGAAGCAGATGCTGGTGACGCTGAGGTCCAGCCCACAGATGACACTCCTGGGTATGTTTATCTTCAGTGCTGGTATGCAAGGAAGATCTCTGTAATGTAGAATGATTATATTGTTCACTATCGATGGGTCTGGATGATATAATACTTCAGGGACATGGGGATAGACTTCCACTGAATCATTTTGGATCAGGAAACAGTTGATATGTGATCCTGATTTGGAGTTTTAAGATTAATGATGTAGTAACAGTGTTATTATATAGTGCCCTTCTTCCAATGATGACCCAAGTACATAAACCATCATAAAGTAATATTTAGCATGTTTGCTTGGTAATGGCCTAAATATCAATATAGTTGCTTAATAATTTTCTTAACTAATAAGTTAATTGATTAATTGTTACACCTGGGATGTGATGATAGCAGCCTCTTGTTTTGTTCACTTCACTGAAGAATGACTGAAGCCGCTGCACTGTCACCTTTCAACAGGAGCCTGCATAGACAATACGCTGCTGAGCGCGCAGGGAGTTGTGAACTACTCCAAACTGCCTTCAGTGGCCGCTGTCCAGGGTGAGCTGGTCAGCGGGCTGACCATGCTGACCTCTAACACAGCCGCCATGCTGCAGCACCAGCCGGCTCACCTGTCAGCCCTGCTCCAGCAGTACAACAGACAGCAGAGCCCAGACAACGGCGCAGAGGAGGCCACGTAGAGCACCAGAGGAAGTTACCGGGACTGTTTGCCTGGCAGATTTGCATCTAATTGCAGTGGTGAAGGACTGAGCTGGATGCACATATTAAGTTTTATTTTAATTTAGTACTAGGGTTCCAGGAAGATTTTTAAGTCTGGGAAAAGTCTGTTGTTTACTCAGTCTTAAATTTTTGACTGGAGCTATTTATTTGGTGCTAAATGTGACTAAATCTTCTAGTATGTATCTGCCTACTGAAGCACAGAGGCTGGATGGACAGTGCTGCAAAAATGTCAGTGTCACTCAAGAGATTCCTTTATTTAAAGATACTGTCACGTAAATAAATGATGTCATCTCTAATTCTCTGAGACATTTATTTTTATGAGACATGCATTTAAAAGTTCTTAATTTCCTTAATTATAATGCATCACCTTTACGTTTGGTCTGCCCAGTTGCTACAGTAATACAGTGTACAGTAATTGATGGATATGTAAGTGGCATCATGAAAATCACTCCAGCCAAATTAAATAAGCTGTCAGAGAGCCTGATAGTTGACCTGCAGATCACAACATATTCATTTGGGTTAGTTTGTTATGGCCTGTTTTCCTCAGCAGCACTGACAAGTCAGACACCACATGCTCGTGCAAAAGAATGGTAGTTGGGGCTGTTTTGAAACCAAATTAAACATACACAGTATCACTATCATCTCAAGATGTTTTGATTTTGGTCTTAATCACAGAAAGACAGGAACTGTAGGCAAGGAAGAGTCGCTGCATTAACTATGAGGGTAAGTTATGACCTGCAGTTAATAAATTATCAACAACTATAGATGTTTTTCAGAAGATCATTAACATGGATGAGCCCATACTCTGCCATTAAAGTACCATTATCCATTTCATCACTGACGGGTGTGACCAGACCCTGCTAGTGCCTTTTACTTAAGGTTTCTAAATCAGCTAACCGGGCGTGTAGAAGGGCTGAGGTTGGCTAGATTTATCCTCCACTACATCGCTGCTAGACTGTAATTCCAGCTAATGCGGATAATAATGGGCACGACACGTTGTGCACGGCGCGTCACGCACTGCTGCGACGCACGCCGCTTCTTGAGTTTGGAGCCAGCGCCTAACACCCTCCGGAGAGAGGGCACGTACGCAGACATCATTTGTCCAGAATAAGTGTAAATCTGTGGGTATAGCATGTAGTTTGACTATTTTGTTTTGTTCTCGATAGGAAAATGTTGCACTCGTCTATATAGTAATTTTTTAAAATGTCGGAGGAGACGTTTGTTGGATTTCTCAGACGCAGAGGGCTGTAACAGGTGATGACTTTCAGGTAAGACATTTTTTCTCCTGCCATGTACACATTATCCTAGAAAACAAAAACTATAACTTAAAGATGTGGGTTAATTATGGTGAAAAATGCTGAACAAAACAACAGAACCCCCAGTATAGTTTATATATGATGTATTTTACGCAGTAATCTGTTGTGAGCGTGGCCCTCTGTTTATTATGTTAGAATACACCTAACCCTTGGACACATTTGTCACTACTTCCCCTGCTCTGTCCGCTGGGGCACTGACGTCTTCAGGGACTTTAGATAAGAGCCTTTGCATGACACCAACTAAGGAGGATAAATCAAATTGGCTGCTTGTACAGGACCAACATCACTAAAATGTATCAGTATAGTTTATCATTGTGCACCATGTTGTCTGTTAATTGACCGTCAAAACCGATGCTGCGCGTGTCTTCACTGGCAATTAGACATTTTACAACTGTTAGAAGGACATTGGTTCCCACAAGGGACTGTGACAAAATGGTTTTCCACTGGCAATTAGACATTTTACAACAGTTAGAAGGCCATTGTTTTCCACAAGGGACTGTGACAAAATGGTTTTTATTTCTCACCCCTGACTTTGCATTAAAACAGACTGGGTCGTAGTAATTCTGTTGAAAATGTTTTACTGCAAACGGAGTAAGGTTGAAAAATATCACGGCCATCATTGACCTGATCCATGTTGTATTGGCTGCAGTTTTAATTCCAAAGAAGAAGAGATTACTGCGTGCTGCAGTTTTCCTGCCCTCACTTTGGCTGACTTTGATATTATGATGTCACCGATCCACCTGTGTGTGTGTGTGTGTGTGTGTTATCTTTCATTGGCTCTGGATCAGACATGAGGAAAAAGTTCTCTCTGACTAGAATCATTTATTTACAGTTTAAAATTTCATTTATAAGCCATTACAATGCTTTATTTGAATTTTAAGAGTTGATTCATAATATTTTTTGAGTGACATTGCGCTATGTAACTATGAAACTTATACTGTGAATATTTAGATTTTCAAGTTCAAGAGTTACATGAACTCTTTCTTTTTGAGCAATGAAGCTCAGAAAACTGCAAATCCCTTCATCCTGTTTCCACCATCACTGAGGTCAGTTACTCTCATCCTCCCCTGATCTCATATAACAGCCAGCCCTGCTGATTGTGCCCCGATTTAGAGGGATATCACTGACTGCATCCTGTGAGATGGCTCTTGTTGTCATGTCTTTACAAATACAGAGACTAGCCACAGGTGGTGAAATGATAAAACCTGAAGTTAGATTTGCAAGCTTCCGAATTAAATACACACCCAAAATGCTGCAAACGAAAGGTCCATAAAGCCTAAAAATGTCCTGCTGTCATAAGTCATACTGGATCCTCTGGGAGAAGTTGTGTTTGATTCCTTCTCCACTGGTTTTATGTTGTTCTGATAATATTGTGTTGTTTCTATGTTACATTTTATTTTCTGTCTGTCTGAGCAGTTTCTGAAATTCTCTGTACAGTGCTGGAATAACATCTGTTCATTATACTAAGTAACTGGTCAAACAAAGAGCCATATGTTCAATAATTACTTAGCATGAATAGTAAGAATGACATTTTAATTAACTTATTCTGACAACATCATCTACAAGAGGAGACAAAATAACAGGAGCTACTCCCACACTTCTCTGACACACTCTAAAAAAGAACCATGTACAGGACTTGTTCTAGGGCTCTTGTATTAAATTGAAGCATGTTATTGGGTGTTTGTTTAACCCACACCCTTTGAGCATTTTATAAAAGAAAAGCTCTGGGACTGAGCTCAAATGCATCAGTAACAACTTTTATTTTATTATACGGTTAATATGCTCTATTAAATTTCAGATATTCTCACCTCAAGTGTTAAAATTTGGCACATATTATTATTATTAATATCATTATTTTGTTCAGTGAAGTGTGACTTTAAGTTCCAGAGTGATCTTGATGAGGATCTAGGACACATTGAACAGTATTTACGATGTCACAGGCTTGAACCAGAAGCTCAGCTCTCACCTCTGTTAGGTAACCGGATTACACAGGAGTCCTGTCTCCTGCTCCTGCTGAGTCGATGTAACACTCTCGCTCCTGCTCGTGGAGCTGCCCACTGTCAGGACGGTATTAATCTTTAACACACCACCTACAACATATAATACAGAATCTAGATGATAACAATGCCAGTGCATGTTTTACTATGAGTCCACTTTTTTAAATAACACAATAAATGTCTCTGTGGAGAAAATCTCACCACCAGGTCCATTTATTAGCTATTATTGAGCTTTTGACCACATGACATGGTAAAAATACTCATTACTTTCTGCTCTGACTTTATCTTTTGAGGAGCTGATTAATCATGTGGTCTATAAAATACTAGAACTTATAACTTCTGAAATGATTTGAACCTCTAAATAGTTGCAGATTAATGTTTGGTCCTTTGGTACCTTATGTGTGTTACTCAGTCTAACCATCTCATCCTGACATTTCACGGGTCTTTTGGCAGATTGTAGAAGCTCTCTCTCAACAATCAGCTGATTGCAGCATCGGAGGGAATTTGAGGTCTGGTCTCCAAAATGGATTCCTACAGCGGTGTGCTCCACCGCAGCCAGTCACTGGCAAATGGCCTGGAGAAGGCCTCACCGACGTGGAACAAGCCGCCTCGCTCTCGGAGCAGTAGCACTCTGTCATCTCACCACTCCCGACAGGTGAGTCCTGGTACAGACACAGAACAAGGGATCATGGGTATATGAGGGTGCAGGGTCGTGCCCTACACAGCACTACATATTGCCAGAACAAAGATGGGGGAGAAGCAGTGGGAAATTTAAGCAGCCAATGTTATAATTTGTGCTTCTTGCCATAGTATTTCCAGGTCTGAACACTCTTGACTGCAATGATTAGCCAACTGAGCAAGTGACAAGAACTTAACTGGCAAATATTTTGATAAAGGACAGTTTTAGGCATTTTTAGTTCTAAATATACAGTATGCTTGTTAAAGCTTCTCAAATGTGATGATTTTCTGCTTTTCTTTCTCATATCAGATTGTAATGGAATATTCTTAGATTTGGGCTGCTAGTCAAGCAGAACAGACCGTCTGAATATATCATCTTTGGCTTTGGAAATTTATTGAGGGCACATTTCTATTCTGACATTTTACAAACTAAATGATTAGCCAGTTGATTAGTGAAAAAAAATTGCCAGATTCATCCATGATTAAAATAATGAAAACCCCCAGCGTTTTTCCTGATCATAGATTATCAAAGACTGGGAAGTGATTGACAACCTTGATGTAGAAATGCAAACAGCAGGCGACAGTCCTCAGGATATGGCGCCCCCAGGTATCTGTGAGGGATATCTGCTCAAGAGGAGGAAGTGGCCGCTTAAAGGTTGGCACAAGGTGAGAGCTGCCATAGTCTGTCACGTTGTTCACCCAGATGTTGAGTCAGTTTTTAAGAAGATGTTGTTTTCTTCTTCAGCGGTATTTTGTCTTGGAAGCAGGGATCTTGCGCTACTCCAAAAGCCAACAAGATGTAGGTGATCTTTACATTTTATAAGCGGACTTTTCATCCAGTAGATATGAAAACGTTTAGATATTCTTTTTTCCACTGAAGGTTTCCAGGGGAAGAGTGCAGGGCTCGCTAGATCTTAGGCTTGCTGTCATGTCAGTAAATAAGAAATCAAATCGCATTGACTTGGATGCAGGCAACGTCCTCTATCATATGAAGGTAAATGTAGTTATTGAATGGTACTGCTATTTTTAAAACAGATAAACAATGTGCCTTCAGACTATAAAGACAAAGGTGCTGTATGGCTTTTCCCACCAAGGCAAAGAGCCATGAACTCTTCTACATCTGGGTGACCAAGCTACAGGCCCACCGCCTGTTCAAGCGGAGTGAAGCACCTCATGTGCACAGCGACTTCCTCCAAACTTTGTCCCACAGCGCTACGGCCGGACAAGCTCAGAGAAATGGAGATTTGGTGATTATCCAACACACAGTAAAGTCAGACCTAACACAGCAATCTCTGAAGTGAGTCT